AGAACGGTACTGGAGCCAAATCCAACTACAATAAGTATATCTAGAAGGGTTGAAAGAAGGAAATTCTAATGTTGTCAGTGCTACTATACACAACTGTTCAGTCTGGTTTTTTTTTTATTCTAAAAGAAACTTTGGAGTCTCTCTCAGTATTATTCTTTTTCACTCATGCTTTATCTTGAGTCATTGATTTATTCTCCAGCTCAGGAATAATGAGTGTTTGGAGAATTTAAGGCTTGGCTCTCTAGGTAGCTACTTAAAATTTGTGCATGTCTTTATTCTCCCCATTTGCATGTTATTTTATCAAGCGAATTCTAAAAGATTCAAAACACGCAAATCACTCGCCAGTGATTCTGTAAAATGACACTGACCAGAGCCATCAATTCCTGGATATTTAACTCAATACCCTTAGCAGCTCTCCATGTAATTTTTTTTTTTTTTTTTTGTAATCATTTAACTTTACTTCAGACATCTGTGAGTGATTTATTCTCTTTTATTCAGGTAAAAAAACATCAGAGAAATGTAAATATTTATTCTCTTTTTTTCAGGTAAAACAATCACAGAAATGTAAATAAGCAGCTCTGTGTTTTTGTCTCTGATTTTGAATCATAACATAACATTAAAAATTTGGATGAGAAGACAGCTTGACTATCATGCTTTTTAGCAATGAACAGTCAAAAGGCAAAATGAACACTACATTGCAGACGACTTTTCCCAGTGAAAGAAAAACTATTATTATGCCAGTAATTCTGATCACAGAAGTTTATCAGACATTGTGAAAAAAATAGAGTTTAGCTGATTGTACTTAGACTGGTGATATGTTTTCTACTTATTCAAAAGAAATAATTCTTATGTTTTTGAACTCTCCAGTCATTGACAAACCACAGTCTCCCTTCAAAAAGCTCACATATTAATTATCCCTGGATTGTTCAAGGACAGAATCAGTTTGCTAATCTGTACGTGTGTGTGTATATACAGTGAAGATATGAAAAGGCATTTCTGGACTTCAGGGAAGAATGAAAAATAACACACAAATTATGAATATGTAGTCTGAGGAATAGCAGTTTTATATGGCCAAAAGAAGAGCATTTAGCAAATAGTATTAAGAAAAAGCCAGGGTCCGGGCGCGGTGGCTCACGCCTGTAATCCCAGCGCTTTGGGAGGCAGAGGCGGGTGGATCACGAGGTCAAGAGATGGAGACCATCCTGGTCAATATGGTGAAACCCCGTCTCTACTAAAAATACAAAAAATTAGCTGGGCACTGTGGCGCATGCCTGTAATCCCAGCTACTCAGGAGGCTGAGTCAGGAGAATTACCTGAACCCAGGAGGCAGAGGTTGCGGTGAGCCGAGGTCGCGCCATCGCACTCCAGCCTGGGTAACAAGAGCGAAACTCCGTCTCAAAAAAAAAAAAAAAAAAAAAAAAAAAAAAAAAAGCCAGGAACAGTAGAACAAAGAATAGTATAACATTCCATGGCAGAGTTGAGGCCTTGCAAATGATCACTATGAAGATCCCAATGCTAGGATTTGGTGCCTGGACTCCTTTTCAGACACGGCTCTCCCACCCTCATGGTTGGTCCCATCAGGCTGTGTCCAGGGGACCCTTTCCTCCCTGGAGCACTGGATGTCTGGCCTCCTTTTGTAGTGCCTGCAACAATGCTGGGCAAACACCAGGAGCTTACAAATAACCACAGCTTCTATTATTTTAGGAAGGAGGGAGAGAAGGTGAGTGGCATTTGGAAGTCCTTTCATGTAAGCCTCACCCCATCACACTGGGGCCTTCCATTCTTCCAAGAACATCCATCCATGTCGTTGCTGGGTTCTTTCACCTCCCTGCTCAAGGATTGTCCCATTTTGCAGATCCCCCTCTCCACTGCTCATTAAGAGACAGTTCTGTAGCAGGTACCCCATGTAGGAAGCTCAAGGAAGTCTTGGTCACTGGAGAGAGAACCAGAAGGGACCTTAGAAGTCAGCTTACCCAACCCTCCTGTCTCCAACCCCACTGTACAGATGATGAAACTCAAAGCCAAAAGACCTGTGTACAGCAAGGATTCTGAACACAGGTTTGCCTCATTTTCTTTCTTTCTTTCCTTCTTTCTTTCTCTCTCTCTCTCTTTCTTTCTTTCTTTTTCTTTCTTTCTTTCTGTCTCTTTCTCTCTCTTTCTTTCTTTTTCTTTCTTTCTCTTTTACAAATTTAAGTTTTGTGGCAACCCTGCATTTAGAAATTCAATTCTATTTGCACCATTTTCTCAACAGCATGTGCTCACTTTGTGTGTCTGTGTTGCATTTTGGTAATTCTCACAATGTTTCAAACTTTAAAAAAAAATTATTGTTATATCTGTGTGGTGGTGTGCCATTGGTAGTTTTTGACTTTAAAATTATAGTTGTTTTGGAGTACAACAAGCGACATCTGTGTAAATGGCAAACTTTCAACAAATAGCCGATTGCTCTACTGATCGGCTTACTCCCTCATTGCTCTTTCCTCCTCAGACATCCATATTCTTTGAAGGATATCATTATTCCCATGATGATATTAAAATTAGGCCAATTAATAATTCTAAAAATGACCTGTTAAGTGTTCAAGTGAATGGAAGGATCATGTGTCACTCATTTTAAATCATAAGCTAGAAATGATTGAAATGCTTAAGCTTAGTGAGAAAGGTATATGTTGGAAGCTATATCTATTGTGCTAAGCCAAGTTGTAAATGCAAAGGAAGAGTTTTTAAAGGAAATTAAAAATTCTCCTTCAGTGAACACACAAATGGTAAGAAAGTAGAACACTCTTATTGTTGGCATGAAGAAAGTTTTCATTGTCTGGAAGGAAGATCAAACTAGCCACAACATTCACTTAAGCCTAATCCAGAGCAAGGCCCTGACTATCTTCAACTCTGTGAAGGGTGTGAGAGGTGAGGAATCTGCTGAAAAAGTTTGAAGCTAGCAGAGGTTGGTAAATACGGTTTGTGAAAAGAAGGCATAAGTGTAGTATGAAAGTGCAGAACATAGCAGCAAGTGCTGATGTAGAATCACAGCAAATTATCCAGAAGACCTAACTAGGATGATTAATGAAGGTCGAACACTAAAACCAGATTTGCAGTATAGATGATGCAGCCTCCTATCAGAAGAAAATGCCATCTAACATTTTCACAGCTGGAGAGTAGAAGTTAATGGCTGGCTTCAAAGCATCAAAGCACAGACTGACTCTTTTGTTAGAGGCTGATGTAACTGGTGACTTGAAGTAGAAGTTTATGCTCATTTTCAATTTAAAAAAGCTTACAGTTTTAAAAAATTATGGTAAATCCACTCTACCAGTGTTCCATAAATAAAACACCAAAGCCTGGATGAAAACATATCATGGTTTACTCAATATTTTAAGCCTACTACTAGGATCTATTGATCAGAAAAAAAATTATATTCTTCTAAAATATTGTTGCATATTCAAAATATACCTGGTCACCTGAGAACTTTGATGGAGACAAGCAAGGAGATTGTTTCTATGCTTGCTAAAACAATATTCATCCTGTAGTTCATGGTTCAAGAATTTTACCTTTCAATTCTTATCATTTAATAAATACATTTCCGAAGGCTATAGCTACCATAGATAGTAATTTCTATGATAGATCTGGGCAAGGTAAATTAGAACTTCCTGGAAAGAATTTACCATTCTAGATACCATTCAGAACTTTTGGGACTTAAGAAGGAGGTCAAAATAACAACATTAATTGGAATTTGAAAGAAGTTTATTTTAATCCTATGGATGACTTTGAGGGGTTCAAGACATTAGTAGAAAAATTAACTCCACAGGTGACAGAAGTAGCGAGAGAGCTTAAAGACGTGACTGAATTGCTGCCACATCATGATAACACTTGAATGAGTAAAAAATTGATTCTTACAGATGAGCAAAGAAAGCAGTTTCTTGAGATGGAATCTGCTCCTGGAGAGTATGCTGTAAATAATGTTGAAATGACAACAATGAATTTATAATATCTCCTAAGCTTTGTTGGTACAGCAACCGGGTTTGAAAGATTGACTTCAATTTTAAAAGTTCTATTGTAGGTATATTCTATCTAACAGCCTTCCATGCTACAGATAGATCTTTTGCGCAAGGAAGGGTCCATTGAGGTGGCAAACCTCATTGTTTTCTCATTTTAAAAAATTGCTACATTTATCCCAACCTTCACTAACCACCACACCTGCGTAGTCAGAGGCCATCAATTTCAAGACAGGGCTCACCAACAGCAAAAAGATTACAACTTGCTGGATGCTCAGATCATTTATAACAATATCCTTTTTTATTATACTTTAAGTTCTGGGGTACATGTGCAGATCTTGCAGGTTTGTTACCTAGGTATACACATATTGTGGTAGTTTGTTGCCTCCATCCCCCCGTCACCTACTTTAGGTATTTCTCCTAATGTTATCCCCCCCACCCCGATCTCCCCACCTGCTGCTAACCCTTTACTACCCCCAACCCCCAACAATACTTTTAAATAAAATTGCTAGCAATACTTTTAAATAAAGTTACATATGTCATTTTTTAGACATTATGCTAGAGCACATTTAATTGACTGCAGTATAATATAAACATAGCTTTTATATGCACTGAGAAATCAAAAATTTTCCATGACTCACTTTATTGTGATATTTGCTCTATTGTAGTTGTCTGAACCAAACCTGAAATATCTTCAAGGTAGGCTCTTATTATGGGCTCCATTAACTGGCCATAGAAAGCAATTGAAACACTTTTTGTTCATTTGCTTGTTTGTTTAGCTGAGGAATACCATGATCAAATATGCACACTGCAAAGATTGCTTTGACAGACAGAATGGAAGGAAGAGGTTGCTGAAACCATGGAAATCAATTAAAAGTCTCACGGAAGGACAAAAAGGTCAGCGTTTGTCTTTTCCCAAAAGTTTATTCAACTGATTTTTTTCTGCTCTATACCTGCTTCCCCGGGCCCCCTAAAAGAACCAAGATAATATTGCCAGATCTTGGAGAAGTATTACTCTTTTTCTTTTTTTTTTTTTTTTTTTTTAAATTTTTTATTGGATTATAGGTTTTGGGGTACATGAGCAGAGCATGCAAGACAGTTGCGTAGGTACACACATGGCAGTGTGCTTTGCTTTTCTTCTCCCCTTCACCCACATTTGGCATTTCTCCCCAGGCTATCCCTCCCCACCTCCCCCTCCCACTGGCCCTCCCCTTTTCCCCCCAATAGACCACATGGACACAGAAAGGGGAGTACTCTTTTTCTTATAATCCAAAGGAGTTCAAATGTAATTAAGCTAAAAGAGATTTTAAAAAGTTTATCCATCTTATTTATGGCAAGACAAATAGCACAATAGCCTTGGCTGAATCAGTACGTAGATCAGTGAACTGAATTTGGAAAGGATAACAAATGGAAGCAGAAACCACCTTGTAATCTCTAAGTACAAAATTGGCCCGAGAAATTTCAGCTGCTGTTATGGAGTTATTTAACAGGTAAGATTTGGAGTCAGTGCCGTCACTCTCCTAATACTAGTTGAGACAGCTAATATAGTAGAAGGAAAGTTCCAAAGACCATAGGAGGGAAAGGGTTTTCATCTAAACAGTATCACTCATTATTAAAAAAAAAAAAAAGTTCTCTTAAATGTAAAATATGTATTTTTTTTATGGCCACTTATAGGAATTTCTTTTCATGATCATATTTTCTCTGATGGCAGAAACACGGGCATAGCAAAATAAATGTTCACTTTATAAAGATCATGTCACTCTGATACTTTTAATAGGATATTATTTTAATCACATTTGAAAGAACCTCTATCAAGTACTATCGAGGTATGATTTTTCCTTTATCCATTGATATAATATTGCTGATTTATTTTAAACTTTTCAACTCATCTTTATTACAAACACTGGAACTTTCCCAAAGCCTATTACTACAGAATACACTTTACTATTAAAGAAGCTTAAACCTTATCGTTGGAGATATTTTCACCCATCAGATGTTTTACTAGAAATAGCTTCTCTGTTTATCAAGTGAACTCCAGTGTGTTTAATGTTACAAGATGTTTTATGTAGCCTATCTCCATATATTGAAAGGTGAACATACATTATCTTAAAAGTTTCTCCAGAAACTACTGGCTCCTCATTCACCATAGGTGACCTTATATCCAAGATCATCAGAAAATAGAGAAAAGATAAAACACCAGTACCTTTACAATTATTGTTTTTCAATAATTTTATAGATAAGAAAAGTGTTCATTAGGTATTAATAAACGATCTAAAGTTACAATCCTGTTTTTCTGAATTCACAAACATTTTTCATAAACGTTTTTAAAACCTGCTTTTTTTCCCCGGCTGAGTCTGAGAAATCCCTGAATGGATCCACCATCTCTGGCCTAATCAATGTCACCAAGAAGGAGATCTGCAGGCATTACAGTGTGTCTTCGTCATCATCTTCATGACTGAGCCATGGAGAAGGAACCCAGGTGACACTCATTATTGGATCTCTCTCAATCTCAGAAAATGAGGTCTGCACCCTGGGAAGAGGTGAGGAGCAGAGAAAGCAGCAGCTCCCAGTGACTTCAAATCCACATCTTTCAGTTATGTCTACTGTGAGAAATATTAAAGACATAATTAACTGAAACACAGTAAGAAAGAGATTAATGGCAATAGATTGTCATAAAGGAGGTAAACCAGGAAGCAACTCTATGGTATACGAGGTGGAAAGGCTTGAAGTTTGATGTTCTTGACGTGAATTAAGTACAGAGGCTGCAAATGTCACAGGTGGTGTTGTAGTGCAAGGCAGTACATATGCAGCAGATCATCACCCTAATACATCTTCCCACACCAGATTACCTCCATAACGGTGAAAGTCAGGCCACCTCCAAAATGATGAGAGTCAGGAAAAGATGAAGTTAGAGATCTCTCCTTGAAAGCAACCCAGTAACATCTTTCTTATTGCAGGTGGTGGTGATTCCCACCTTCTTACATGATAGAATACTATTACTTTCTGTCACAATATATTAAGCTTCCCTGAGCTGAAAGCACTGACCATCATGGCTAAGGTATAGGAGGTAGACCAATAAGACAGAACATGCACTAGGAATGAAGATGGACACTTTGCAGAGGACCATCTTACCAATGACAACTTAGAGAAAGCATTAGTAAAGCGAATAAGAAAATTCAGACAACAAACCCAGGAAAAGCAACTACTTCAATTTTGGTACTGCTAATTACGTACCCAGACACAAGAAAATTGATAAAGAGAGAAAATGTAGCATATTACTCACCTGAAAAAAAAATCCCTTATTGCAGAAAATCTTAAACTCTTGCTACTCAAAGTGTGATTCAGGGACGAACAGCAGCAACATCTCCTAGAACCTTATTAGAGATGCAAAAAACTAAAGCCCCACTTCAAATCTGCTAAGTCAGAATGCTCACTTTTACAGTCTTCTCAGTTGTATGCATTAGGATTAAGCAGCACTCCCTTAAATCACAAGAAGTCTGCTATAAACTGAATAGTTGGATTCCTCCAAAATTCATATGTTGAAATCTAACTTCCCAGTATGATGGCATTAAGAGGTATAGTCTTTGGAAAGTACTGAGGTTATGAGGCAAAGGCCTCATACATGGGATTGGTGCTCTTATCAAAGACTTGAGAGTGCTTGTTTTTTTTTTTCTCTCTCTCTCTCTGCTCTCTGCCATGTGAGGATACACTAAGACAATGGCCATGTGTAACAAGGCAGCTGGGCCTGACCAGACACCTGCTCTGCCTGCATCTTGGTCCTTCTTAGCTTCTTAGCTTCCAGCACTATGAGAAATAAATTCCTGTTGTTTATAAGCCACCTAGTCTATAGTACTTTGTTTTAGTAGTCTGAACTAATTAAGATAAGGGCAAAGGAACATTTGCAGCAGATCAGCCAGATGGGCACAAGACATCTGCTGCAAAGCTGTGCAAGGGAACACTGATTTAATGCTGCCTTGGCAACTCTATATTCATCTAGTTTAGTTATTCAACTAGAAGTAATTGGCATAAAATTACAGCAATAAGAATTGAACTAAAAGAGATAGAAAGAGTTCAGATGGCAGAAAATGTTTAAAGTGTATGAATGTGTGAAGTTTGCACTCTTAAAATTTATAGTAGTTTTGAAATATCTTAAATAATTAGTAAAATAATAATCATAAATAATAAAGAAAAAAGAAATTACCTGCCAGCAGAATAAACAAGTCAGTGCATATGGGCAATCCTTTTGTTATCTTTGTGTCTTAGTCCATTCAGGTTGCTATAAAAAATACCTTAAATTAGGTAGCTTATATACAACATAAATTTATTGTTCACAGCTCTAAAAGCTGGAAAGTTCAAGATTAAGCCACCAGCAGATTCAGTGTCTGAGGAGGGTTCTCTGCTTCACAAATTGCACTTTCTTGTTTTATCTTACATGGTGGAAAGGCAAGGAGAAAGGTAAGCTCCCCTAGATCTCTTTTTTAAATAAGTACACTAATTATATTCATGAGAATATCAATCTCAACAACTAGTCACTTTCTAAAGACCCTGACACTTATTACCAACATACTGTGGTTTAGATTTCCACAAATTAATTTTGGGTGGATACAAAATTCAGACCATAGCATTTGCCCTGGCCACTAAATATCATCTAAATCAAATAGAGGTGAAATTCCAAGTGTGATTCATCCTGAGTCAAATCTCTCTCCAGCTGTGAGACTGCAAAATCAAGTAAGTTATGTGCTTCCAACATAAAATGGTGAAACAGACATAGAATAAACTTTTCCATTCCAATAGGGAGAAATAAGAAGAAAGCAAGGAATAACTGGTCTCAAGTAAGTCTAAAACCCAACCTAACAAACAATACTACATTTCAAGTCTTGAAAATAATTTTCTTTGACTCAATATTACAACCACCAGACACACACCGGTTCATGGATTGTGCCTCCCAGGCTCTGGACAGTTTCTTTCCCATGGCGTAGCTGGGTATAGCCCAGTTCTGGGGGTTGGGCAGTCTGACAAGAAGGCTGCAGTTGATTTGGTGTCTGGTAAAGGCCAATCTGCTTTATAAATGGTGCTTTCTTCAGGCACCCTCACATGGCAGGAGGCCAAAGGGGAAAACAAGCTCACTCAGACCCCTTTTAGAAGGGCACTAATCCCATTCTTAAGGGCTCTATTCTCATAATCTACTTACCTTCCAAAGGCTCCACTTCTTAATATCAACATATTGGGGATGAGTTTACAACATATAAATTTTGGAGGCATGCAAATTTTCAGCTTTTTCACCAGGTTTTTCAGGTAAGAGACAGGAGCTACAGATGTAAAATTTAACATATTAGGATAAAAAAGTTATGAAGTTCTAAGTTTGAATAAAAATATTTGAGCTCATGATTCACATCTTTAAAATGTACAGCTTCTTCAATCTTCCCTTTCTTTTTCTTCTTCCTCGTCCTCCTCCTTCTTATCCCTTCCTCTGTCTTTCTAAACTTTTGAAATATAAGGACGATAATTAGATCCAGGTTAGATTTTTTTTTGCAAGAATGTCTTATAGGCAGTTTTTGTTTTTTCATCTGGAGGTACAAATAAGCTTTGTTTCTTTGTTTTTGTCATACTAGAGACTATTATTATTGCCTAAATTAAGAATTTTATTAGGAGTTTATAAAATGGGATTTTTCTATGCTTTCTTCTTTTTCTACTAAGTGCAATAATTCTATAGAGAGAAACATTTTATTTATTGAGAATTATTTGGTTATCTATGGCAGATTTATAAATAAAAATCAAGATAAATATTTGATTGTTTTCTTTCATTTGCCATTTTTCAAACAAGTTATTATTTTCAAGAGTACCAGTGGAAATTCATCTACAATATTTCAGTGTCTTAATAAACTAATGAAATTTGACATACTATGTTTCAATCCATTGCTGTTGTTCCTCTTGGTATATTACTCACCTTCCCTCTATGGAAGCCTCATTATGGGAGTTTATTTTGCAACTTCAGTAGTCTTTGATAGCATTCTCACTCTCATGGTGGCAATGTAATTTTTACCTTTTATTTCTCAGACTGGGAATGAACAATTTAAAGCCACCTTTAAAGTTTTTTTATATGTCCTCATATACAGTCAATTTGAACAAGTTAAAATTTTTAGGGATCTTTGTCTTTAATATGACATTACATACTGTTTTCTAGTAGTAATCAATTTGTAAATCATTGCTAATAAAGAACTTAACAACAACAACAAAACAATGGTGGAAATATAAGAAGAATAACTTGGATAACTTTGAGAGTTTAATCATTGAATTGAATGAGAAATGATGGGCTTGGCAATCAGAAATGAGATGTTTTATAAAACAAAGGAATTTTAGAGTTATTATCAAAGAAGGTAAAGCTTGAATGCTCAATCCAGATTAAATGTAGGCCATTTAAAAATATCCTATTGCAATTTTACATAGAAAAAAATTACAAATGTTAATTCAATACTTCTATGATTTCTCATGAATATGATCAGGACCCAGATAAAGAAACAGAAGATAAGCTATACTCCAAAGGCCACCTTCGTTGTTCTGATTAAAGGAAGAACCAAGAATGAAAAATAAGTATGATGATGCTGTTTTAGTATTGGAGGAAAAGAAAGGGAGAAAAAGATAGAAGAAAGAAAGAAAGAAACAAAGGAGAGATGGAGGGAGGAGGGAAAAAGATTGTAAAGTATCCCAAAGGTTTAAAATCACTAGAAGGAAGAAAGTTTCTAAGAGGAAAACTTAAGTCACATTAAGTCACAGTAGGAAAAAATATACACCAGTTTCTGACTCAAGGAAAGTGAAACTCATAAGATATTTCCATCTCAGATTCCCCCTAAGTCTAACAATTAGCTACTTCTTCTTAGCTAAGGAGTGTCAAGTATGGAATAATAATACATATAATAATAATTGAATAGCATATTTTTTCCATTCTTTATTTTTTTAATTAATTAATTAATTTGTTTTTTTTTTTTTGAGATGGAGTCTTGCTCTGTTGTCAGGCTAGAGTCCAGTGGTGTGATCTTGGCTCACTGCAACCTCCGCCTCCCGGGTTCAAACAATTCTCCTGCCTCTGCCTCCCGAATAGCTGGTACTAGAGGCATGTGCAACCATGTCCAACTAATTTTTGTATTTTTAGCAGGAATGGGGTTTCACCACGTTGTCCAGGATGGTTTCTATCTCTTGACCTCATGATCCACCCGCCTTGGCCTCCCAAAGTGCTGGGATTGCAGGTGTGAGCCACCAGGCTAGGCTTCCATTCTTACATAGGACTTTGCCCCTGAATGTAACAAAGTGAGAACAATCGGTTTTCTATAAGGAACAAATAATGATATAATTTACCTGATACTTTTTTTAACTCATCTTCAAGACTGAACTGCTAAATATTCTGAAAAGTCTCTAAACGTTTTAACATGTCAGACTCAGCACTCAAAACAATTTTGATGTTTCTACAATCTATCATATTTTGCTAAGTGAATATACCTTTTCCCTCGATAGTTTTAGTCCAGGTAGTACAATTCTGTTGCTACCTAATGTTGAGCTATATTTCTAAAACAGCTGTCTTCCTAATACGTCTTACCTTTCACTGATCCAAATATACAAGCATATTCTTCAATAAAAGCAGACAACTTTTAATTCAAGTGTACTTCACAGATCTTGAATTGTTACAAGCTCATTTACAGTTCAGCAAGGCAACTGTGATTTAATAAAGAACAGATAACATCAAATTACTTTTTTCAAGGAAAGTACATAAAATAGCAGGATGAATAAACTGGAAAAATGTTTTTATTTACTCAAAAAATAACCTTGAAGTTAACTAAAAATGCGTACTGACAAAGTGATTGAAACCGTGAAAATGTCATTAGATCACTGTGATATTTAATCTCTTACCAGTGGCAAGATGTGACAAAGATTGTGAGTACCTATACAGCTGCTTAATACAATGAGAAGAAAAACTTAACTATTCTATTCCAAAGCTATTTCTCAAAAGTCTATATTGGAACAATTTTTATTTCTAAAATACCCATAATTTTCACTAATAAGAAATCAGTTAAAACTCTTATTACAATAGAAAAATTTAACTCCTCAATTTTATGCCACTTTCTATTAGGTTAAATTTAATTTAATGTATCTTTCAACCAATCCTTTTAAATCTGAACATTCCTTTCCAAAATCTATACAATGTTTAGTGCATACACAATAGTTCATTTTCCTTGGAAATTATAGGCATGCCCCATTTTAGTGTACTTCATAGATACTTTTTTATAACTAACTACAGTTTTGTGGCAACGTTGCATCAGGAAGATTTTTTGACACTATTTTTCCACTAGCATGGGCACACTTCATGTCTCTGTGTCACGTTTTTTTAATTCTTGAAATATTTTAAACTTTAATTATTATTATGTCTGTCATGGTTATCTGTAATATGTGGCCTTTGATGTTACAATTCTAGTTGTTTCAGGCACCAAGAACTGAGCCCATGTGAGATGACAAACTTAATTGATAAATATTATGTGTGTTCTGACTGCTCCACTGACCAGCCATTCCCCATTCTTTCTTCCTACCTCATTTAAGTCTCAAACAAGCCACAACATTCTTTTTATCCAAAGCCCAAACCAGAGCATGGCCATAACACTTTTCTATTCTATGAAGGCTGAGAAAGGTGAAAAACCTGCAGAAGAGAAGTTGGAAGCTAGCAGAGATTGTTGGTTCATGAAGTTGGCTCACAATCTCCATAATGCCAAATGTCAAGGTGAAGCAGCAAGTGATGATGTAAGCTACAGAAAATTATACAGCTAATTGATAATCTAGCTAAGATAATGAAGTGGTAGAGGTGGCTACACTAAACAGATAATTTCCA